ATTTTGGCACACCCTTCACACGTTTCGTGGCCCCATAGGGAGCTCCACCGCAGGTCCCAGTGTGTGTGTGCCCGCATGCGTCCCGCACACCCATTTCGGCACACCCCTCACACGTTTCGTGGCCCCCATAGGGAGCTCCACCGAAAGGTCTGTGGGTGTGCCCGCATGCGTCCCGCACACCCATTTCGGCCCACCTCTCACACGTTTCGTGGCCCCATAGGGAGCTCCACCGAAGGTCCCACTGGGTGTGCCCGCATGCGTCCCGCACACCCATTTCGGCACACCCCTCACACGCTTCGTGGCCCCATAGGGAGCTCCACCGAAGGTCCCAGGGGGTGTGCCCGCATGCGTCCCGCACACTCGTTTCGGTAAACCCTTCACACGTTTCGCATTCGTGGCCCCATAGGGAGCTCCACCGAAGGTTCCAGTGGGTGTGCCCGCATGCGTCCCGCACACCCATTTCGGCACACCCCTCACACGCTTCGGGGCCCCATAGGGGGCTCCATCGAAGGTCCCAGTGGGTGTGCCCGTATGCGTCCCGCACACACATTTCGGCACACCCTTCACACGCTTCGTGGCCCCATAGGGAGCTCCACCGAAGGTCCCAGTGGGTGTGCCCGCATGCGTCCCGCACACCCATTTCGGCACACCCCTCACACGTTTCGTGGCCCCATAGGGAGCTCCACCGAAGGTCCCAGTGGGTGTGCCCGCATGCGTCCCGCACACCCATTTCGGCACACCCCTCACACGTTTCGTGGCCCCATAGGGAGCTCCACCGAAGGTCTCAGTGGGTGTGCCCGCATGCGTCCCGCACACCCATTTCGGCCCACCCCTCACACGCTTCGTGGCCCCATAGGGAGCTCCACCGAAGGTCCCAGTGGGTGTGCCCGCACACGTCCAGTACGCAGGTCCCCGTGGCGCAGTCCGAAGGCGTCTCCCTTGCCCAGTACAGCGTTACGTGGCCCCATATGGAGCCACACCGCAGGTCCCAGCCAGCCAGCTAGCTCTCTTCGCTCCGCGCAGCGGGCGACCCGCGCGCGTCGCTGGGACCCCTCCGGGCCGACCTGCGCGCGTCGCGGGGGCTCCGCGCTGCGTTCTGCCCAGCGCCTCGCTCGCCCGTCGTCGCTCTGCCCAGCGGCAAGAGCCTTGCCCGCTAACAGCCAGCCAGCTAGCTCTCTTTGCTCCGCGCAGTGGACGACACGCGCGCGTCGCTGTGACCCCTTCGGGGCGACCTGCGCGCGTCGCGGGGAATCCGCGCTGCGCTGCGCCCGCAGCCTTGGACTTTTGAGTGCGCGGGCAAAGAGGGAGTAAAGGAAGGGGAGGAAGCGGGCGCGATCCTCGCGGGGGGGCGCGCCGACATTGGCGTCGCGGCGCGCGGGCGATGCCGTCGGGGAGTCCAGGGGAAGCTCCTTGCGGCGGCCACGCCCAGCGTCACGAGTACTCAGAGGCAGCCATTGTCAAACTATTGACATTCATACACAAGTGCACCACGCTTTGTCATATTCGCCTTCATGCACGTAGACTCGCTCGCACGCAGATTCATTCACAGTCAGACGCACGCGCGCATATTCACCCGCGCTCAGTCTCCCTACGTACTCAGATCAATCGTTTTCGTTCGCGTTGTGTACCACGCCACTCATGTCGGCACACCCCTAGCACGGTTCGTTGCCTCATAGGGATCGCCACCGAAAAAGTGAATCACTATTGCGGTACTCACACCTGCATGTGGTTGGGTCCCTCGTCAGGCTAATTTGTATCTGGTCCACGCCCCTCATCCTCCTCCTCTTCCTCCTCCTCCTGCTCCTCCTCCTCCTCCTCCTCCTCCTCCGCCTCCGCCTCCTCCTCCTCCTCCTCCTCCTCCTCCTCCTCCTCCGCCTCCGCCGCCTCCCTTTCACCTCCTCCTCCTCCTCCTCCTCCTCCTCCTCCTCCCTCCTCCTCCTCTCCTCCTCCTCCTCCTCCTCTCTCCTTCCTCCTCCTCCTCCCTCCTCCTCCTCCCTCCTTCTCCTCCTCCTCCTCTTCCTCCTCCTCCTCTCCTCTTCCTCCTCCTCCCTCCTCCTCATCATCATCATCGTCATCCTCCTCAACCTCATCATCCTCCTCTTTCTCGCGGTTCGGGCAGACCTTCTCGCAAACGTAGCCAGGATGTCAACCGATGTTGACGCTTTGTTCGGCATCGGAGGCCGTCTTGGCCCGTCTTCAGGCGCACGAAGCAACTTCAACGACGAAAGCATGCAACTGAGCCGATGAAATGTGGGACACGTCATCAGATCTGGCCCCTCTTACCAGCAGCCGTCTTGGGTTAAACAGTTTTGGCGCAAGACTCACTGGCGACGGCCGTGCACAGTCCACTACGTACTCTGGGAATTACTCTCGACGTACCTTTAGCTAACTTCGACACCATACAACCAAGCACCCGCCCAACTTTGCGCGCGCATGCGTGTGCATGTGCAGAAAGAAAAATACATGTTACGGGTGCCCGCCAGTCCTGTGACCTGTCGACGCCGTTCATCAGCATGCCGCCCATGCTGTCGCAACGTGTGCCAGCCCAAAAGACTTTGTGCCCCCCATGCGCAATTTTGGAGAGGGCGGCGAGAACGAAAGAAGAGGGCGCAACTACCAAATCAAAGCGTCACTCGTCACTGTGTGCAGCGCGGGGAGCCAGAAGTGGAAAATGGGGCGAGACGAATTAACCCATGAAACGTATCAGAGCCAAGGAAGGGAGCGGAGACCCAAAAGATGCTGCTGAGTGCGCCACTCAGCCGCGACAGCGAGGACATTCGCAAAACTACTGGCACACAAGGCGGACTGGCAGAGCCTGTGTGGCCAGCGAGGTCGCCTGCGAAGACAACGCGCCGTGCCCCCCCGAATGCATGGACAGTTGCCTCTGCTCCACGACACAGGCGCAGTGGCTGGAGGGGCCCAAAGCAACTCGACCCGCCGCCCGCGCAGCCCGCTGTAGGCATGCTTGGCGTGCCGGATTTCTCGCTGGCCTCCGGCTAGTTCCGGAAAAGGGGCAACACAGGTGGCCTCCGGCCAGCTTCCAAATGACATCCTGCCAGCTCCAGTGCCAGTGGCCTCTGTTCGATACTGGCCAGCGGCAGTGTCCGGTGTCGGCTCCAGCGCCAGTGGCCTCCGGCCAGGTTCCCAGTGGCCTCTGGCCCCACCCGCCTGCCACCGCAAAGCTTGGAAAGCCCCGACAGAGTCATCTCCAAGGTGACCAAGAGGTGCCCCAAGAGGGGCTCCGAGACTGCCCCACGACGCTCCAAGACGGAGCCAAAACATGCCTCCAAGACGGCCCGCGAAGGCCCGAAGACGGCCCCAGATGCCCCAAGACGGCCCCACAGGGCCCCAGGAGGCTCCCAAACAAGGCCCAGGGGTATCCCGAAAAAGCCCCAAGACAGACCCACAACGGCGCAAGAGGGCCCTCTTAGAATTTGACCATCTTCGAATGAGATCAACATCGAGTTTCGGCGTCCCCCAGGGCATCCCCCAAGACGCCCACAATGCCTCTCAGCTGGTTCAATATCGTCCCAGTCTGGTGCAAGGTGGCCCCGAGACGGTCCAAGAGCCTCCCGAGACGCCCCAAGATTGCCCAATGAGGGCCCGAAGGCGCAAAACCGTGATTCCGCGACAGATTTCTTATGAGTGAAAAATTGCCCAATGGACGGCCTTCACAGCGTCCAGAAGGCCCAAGCGGCCCTCAATGGTCGCCCCAAGACGGGCCGCAGGGGCTTTGCGAGGGTCCCCAGGGCGCCCTGATCAGTCATGGAGGGGCCCCGGATGGCCCCACAGAGTCCCGCGGACGGCCCGACAGGAGTCGCAAGGCGGACACCAAGACGGCTCAGGGTCCCAGGAGGCCCCCAAGAGGGCCCAGATTACCCCGCCAGGAGCCCCAAGACGGCGCGCGAGCGCGAGCGCGGGGGGGGGAATGAGGAGGAGGAGGAGGAGGAGGAGGAGGAGGAGGAGGACGAGGAGGAGGAGGAGGAGGAGGAGGAGGAGGAGGGAGGAGGAGGAGGAGGAGGAGGAGGAGGCCCCCAAGAGGGCCGTTGAAACTCGGCCACCGTCGAGCGAGTTCTGCATCGGATGTTGGCTGCAGCTGCGAACGGCCACGTGGGCGTCTCATGCTTCGGGGGGCGGCGAGGACTCGCTGTGAGCGCCAACGACTTCGTATGTGAATCAGGGGGGAAAAAAGCACACAGACACAATTAATCGTCGATTCCCCAGGAAATATGGAAAAATATAGAAAATATAGGAAAATATAGGGAATCGTTTTACTTGTGTGTATTTATTTGTGTGTCCCAGGGCCCCTTCAGTGAAGACACGCGCGTGTACGCATGCACTCAGGGATGGCCCTGCATGACACCCCCGCCCAAACGGCGGCACCCGCGGTCGTCCCTGGCAGGCGGGGTGGAGGA